TTGGATGCAGTTGGTTAGAGACGGACAGCCGGTGCCCGGTGCAGCCGGAGCCGGCGCCCTGAGCCACCGCCCCAAGCGGGTTTGTTTCGGCGGGCCGCGGCGCCGCCGGCAGCCTCCGGCCGCGCCCCTCCCGGCCCGCGCCGCTGCGCCGCTCCGGCCAAGCACAGGAGTGTGCCCTCGGCTGGACGGGGCGCCGGCGCGCGCGCCGCCGGTCCCCGGCTGGCTGGGCTGCTCCCCAGTCCAGTCAGCCGGCTGTACCGCCCCCTCTCCCCTAGTTCAGCCAGCTGCCCGTTAGTCCGCCTCAGGCACCTCGAGTTCGTGCGCTCGGACACTCCCACAACTCCGTCTTCAGTTTCTCGAGCCGCGTTTGGTCCTCCGGTGATGCACCGATTACCGATCGACGGATTCTCGAGGACAGCGCGGGTGAATCAAGGAAACTCGAGGGCGGTGACGAGGAACAACCAAACCAACCAGCAACGCACTTACCTGGAACTCAACAGACAAAGGAGAGAAACAGGCCGCTGGGTCGAGAGAAAGTCAGTACTCAAATAACTCGAGCAAGGTCCAACAGTTCTTCGATAAAAAGATTGATTTGGTTGAATGCTTGATTGATTGCATGATCGAAATGTATAATAATGACACATTCAAATAGCAAAACGTTGTCATATCAATATTATAATTGAACAATATTAGTATGGGACCACGTGTGGCTATATGTAGGTATACCTACAGGTAGGTAAGCGAAGTCATAAGTGTGAGACAGAAAGCGAAGGTGTCCGCCTTAGCCCTTACGGCCAGCATACCACTCTCATCTGCTTAGAAAGAATCAGACAGCCAGGGATATTGTCCAGAAGGGCTGCGACTTAACCACTGATGTCGCTTTACCTCCAGACGTTTTCCCAAGAGAATGCAATTTCGTTCAATGCAGAGGAGCGACACGCAAGCCACCGTGTTAGTCAATGTTGATGAGAGTTTGATTATGTGCTAAGAAGAAAAGAAAGGAACACAAAATGTTTGTAATAGCATACATATTTTCTGCGGATAATTACATCCAAACTTTCGAAAAGCGCTGCGAAGTTTTGCGAGTGAGGCGAATGAAGTTGTTGTGAGTGGGTGTCGTACAAGGCAGCGCCTTTGGTGCCGTTATTTGAGTACTGGTGAGACCGGGAGGTGAAGGCATTCACACACACTTATCCGCGTGGGATGCCGTTGTCTCAAAGAAGGTGGCGTCATAAGGCCCGATTGATAAAAGTGCCAAAATTTGAGACAAGGCAGACCACTTCACCACAACATCGATACTGAAGAAATCTGGTAACACTTGTCCAGCAATCGCTATTGATAATGATAAAAACATGCACTTCCGTAAAACGATTAGTCGACGCTACCAGATTTCAACAGCTGGGCGTTGCAGGCATCGCCGGCCAGGAAAATTGATGGCAATATCACCATGGCAACCGGTTAAAACGGACCAATCGGCATTCGACCAAAGTCCACGGACCAATGGGTGTCCGGCCAATGGCCAGCTGACGGTTATCCAGGCGGCGCAGATGCCTCGTGCACGGTGAGGTAACGTTAGCGGTCCTTGTCAGAGCTGGCGCCTCCGCGCGAGGTACTAACCGGCCATAGGAGCGCGCTGTGGGGACATACTGACACCCGGACAGACCCAGGCGAGTCGCCAGGGACTACCGACCGGCAGAGCCGCTAGCCGGCCGACAGGGTGCACCGCGAGTCGGGGCCGGGACCATTGCAGCGCTCCCGCGACAGAAGCCACCCCGGGAGTACCGAACCAGCCGCTCGAGACCTGGGCGCTCGGGGGGGGGGGGGGGCGCAGTGACGGCAGGTGGCGCGCGAGCGGCGAAGCTGGCGCAGCGCAATACGACACGCAGGCAGACAGGCAGCATGTCAGCGACAGAGCTTTGCGGCGAGCTCAGCGGACTCGCTAGGGCTTCCTTCGGCAGCGACGGCCAAAGGTCAAGGTCAGCTGGTAAAAGGCGAGCTCCGGAATTATCCAGTAGCGAAAAATGAGATAAAAAACCAGCCACGCACACTTCTTTAAAAAGTTCACAAGAACTAGTTCACAAGAACTATATGCTGGGTATGTTTGCTCAATGAAGTGAAAATTTAAATCAGAATGTAAAATTGAAAAAGTGCGAAAACTAAGGGTGAAATTTTCAGGAAACAAAATTTCTGCCGACTTTCTTGACGAAGGCCATGTTTTGTACATTTTTTTTTTACAATCCTCGACAGCGCACGCCTTATCAGAAGATATTACAATCATATACAAAAATGCAGCTCTTTTGTACACCCTTATTTCCAGTGCCCCTCTCCAGCGATGGAGCTGTGCAGAGAGCTCTGTTCGCTCTGTGATTGGTCGCCAGCCGGAGTCACCCAGGTCGCGAGCGGCAGAGGCTCTCAAATTTAGCGGCGCTCAGCGGCGCGGGACGCGGACAGTACACTGCGCGAGCACCAGTCATTGAGGACCTCTGGTTAGTGGAAGCTTTAGGTCGACATGCAGTTTGAGACGGAGCCCGGGCGGCACACGTATAGCGCCACCGCCGCCGCCGCCGACAGTGCGGCAGACATCGCCGACAGAGAGAGAGGTAGGGAGGGAGGGAGGGGCCGGGAGATTCGGATAGAGCAGGAGTGAGGCTGAAAACCCGCGGCCCAAGTTCATATCTATTGGGTACGCGTGCCAAATTGTACACCCAAAGGGCATATGTTTGATACTTAACGGTATTATGGTCGTAATAGCAATGTCTGTTCCTAAGATTTTTATCGATGCCTTTCAATGTTCCGTTTCACTTTTCGACTAACACCTACACCTGTCGAATATGTTGAACATCTGAGCCAAACTACCCAAAACAAAGTATTCAATTTAAAGTCCCACAACACCAAACCAAACTGAAGCAAGCAGGTGCCGAACGCCCCACAAAGTGCGGTGTTCCACTGTAACGCCCTAGCTCCACCACCCAACCCAAGTTTTCGCCCTCCTTCCACCGCACGAAACGTGCGTCTTACCGGTGACCGTCTGACCGTCTGACTGTCTGACTAGCACCGCTGCACAGACACAACTCTGACTGTCTCACAGCTGTTTGTCTGAACTGAAGGAGACGCGAGCCGAGTAGCGTCACAGCTCCACTGAGTCAGGAGCTCCCCGGAGCACTGGACTGTCGGCCAGCCTTCCCGGCTGCACCACAGGGCTTCCCCCGTCCCCCCGGTAAGCCTGTTAGTGAGCTGCGCTGTCTCGGTATGAGTCTGAGACGGCGCCCGGCCGCCCCCGCGCCGCGGGAAGTGGCCCCCACCTGAGGGGTTTCCGTCCGCGCCCAGATAGGGAACCGGGCGACACAGCGACCTTCGCTGAGGAAACCCAACCGTCAGCTACCTCTCTGGATGGGTGACATATTCCAATAGCCCATACATAGCATCAACAGGGCCATGACCAAATGTCATGTTTCCCAGTCATCGTAACATTCTGAAGTTTAAACTGCTCCGAACAAGGCGCAATATGGATGATAATTTGATTTTTTTCGACGAAATTCTGTCTTACGTAATGAGAAAGTACAAGAAATTATAAGAAAGTATATGTACTTTGTTTTCCTATTGTATCCTTCGAGAAGATTGCGACAACATTAAAGTAAACTGAGCAAAGGGATAGTCTGAGAACATCAATGGTATGCCAATATTTCGTCACTGGAGCACCTGGTGATAACATGTGTGTATTAGTATCCCCAGTGACACCAAGTATTGTGCTATGCTGACCGAGAAACGCTCGATATGACCAAGGAAGGGCGCTGGAGAATCCTGGGAGCGAAGGGCACATCCCATGGACCATTTACAAGCCCAAGCAACAGCGACCAGGGCACCCGTAGCACTGAAAGGACACCGAACCCCAGAGCACCGAGGGAGCACCGAGGGAGCACAGCGGGAGCACCACGGGAGCACCTGTGTAGCACCGACCCGGTCCCCGTCCGTCGGACCACTGCGGCGCCCTCTGAGCTGGACCCGTCTGCCGGCGCGGGTCAGCCGGTGTACCGTGTAGCCGGGTCGGCCTCAGGTGAGGTGACACCCGAGACGACACTGACACTGGAGCGCCGCCCATCCGGTGGTGGGGGTGGGGACCGCACCGGGCCCGTGTCATAAAGGGAACTACGGCCATGAGCCCGCCCCGGGACCGTGTCATAGAGGGAGCTACGGCCCATGAGCTCAGGGTTATCGTTGAAAAGGTGACCCGTCCCGGGTCCACCTTATAGAGAGAACTAGAGTCATGAACCCAGGGTATCCAGATCGCGCCGGTAACCCCAGCCGGGCCCGCGTCATACGGGGAACTACGATCATGAAACCAGGAGACCAACAACATCTTACGAAAACCTACATTCAATAAGTCATTATCTGACCCATCCTAGCAAAGACAAAACGACACCATGAAAACGGAAGTTTTGGGACTGTTTCTGTGGGTTGCAGGACCAACTTTGCTACTGATATCGGGCTCTGGACGGCGAATTGTCTTTCCTTTCCCCGTATACCGCGGATAAATTCCATCAGCTGGCAGAAGCCCTGGTATCAAAACTGATTCATCAGCGTAGCCCATTTCCTTTGGCTTTACAGTCCAAAACGATAAATAATGGTATAGACAGGAAACAATAGCCCATTTAGCACGGCTCAATGGCGGTGCGGTTCAGTTGGACCGTGGCAATGCTAGACAATAGATCGGCAACCGACTCTTTCGCCGGTAAGGGGACCCCGGAGGTTAGGAATAGACTAGCGCAGAGTCCAGCACAGGTGAGGGGCAGTAGGTGAGAGGACCGGAGGATGACGTCACCGGTCAGCGATGTCTGCACCGCCCGCCAGGTGGCAGTGGTGTCGCTCCAGCACAGCGGCGGCGGCGAAGGCGCGGCGGTTACTGGCAAAGCGGTACACCCACGCTCTCACACTCAGGGGCGGAGGGCAGAAGGAGAGAGGAGGGAGCGGGTATGGAGAGAGTGGGGCAGAGCCCGACGTACCTTCAGAAGTGAGGCGCTCGACAAGGTCGGAGGTTTCTGAAACACAGGGAGAGGGGGTCAGAGCGGACGGCAGAGGGGGCGGGGTCACAGGAGCTGGGTCGTAGGGGAAGCAAGAGAAGAATCATGTGCAGTTCAGACGCTTAAATGGCAATCATACATCCTCAGTGACTTGAAAAGTCATATCTCATCTACACAGCCTTTGGCTTGCACGCTTACAAACAGCTATCCCGGGAGACTATCATTAGCGAATGTCAAACCATTAGGTACTGTGAATTGTTCATCGGCCGTTTTAACGAGGTCAGCACTCAGCGCTACCATTTCTCAGGTCGGAGCAGTCCAAATATGGCTGAGACCGATCACATTTCGTTCCGGTCGCCCACGCTACCACAGCAGAATAACATGGAGGCCTACCAGGGAGTCTATATGTCCCCCACTGGGGTCCGGTTCTAATACATGGTCCCGTATGGGCAGAGAAAGGAAGCCACCCATGATGACAAACCTAACACGAAATAAGAGGAGGTTGGTTAAATTGTGGAGCTTTTAAAAGTTTGAACCCCGAAATGTGCGGTACAAAACGGACAACACGTGAAAAAGTCCTTTAAAGGATCTATGTGTTTTGAAGGATCTAAAAAACAGCAAAGAAAAATACATGGAAATTCATTCCCGATCTCTCAGGCACCGCCCAGTCGGTTGCCCGGCCGCGACCAACCCTGCTAAGTCCTCCCTTACACCCCTGCCTACCCTCTGCTGCCTACATCTGCCTATTTTGTGCTGCCTAAGATCCTCACCTCCGACACTGGTTGTGGTGATGGTGGTCGATTTTTGCACCAATCGACCGTCTTCGGTGACGGTATCGCTCGTTTGTTGCATTACGGTGGTTTTACTGCCATCTGGAGACACAAAATGGAAACAGTCGTCAGTACGGTAAACATAAAATAACCATCAGAGAGAACAGTAAAGAAAACAATGGTTAACAAATGTGCTGAATAACTTTGTGTCCGACGATGGTGACAGCACTGTCAAGGAAGGTATTCTGTAAGATATCTTTGGCCTGTAAAAGTTCCCGTTTATACTTTTATCAGCTGAGTTTTATGTGAAATGTCATGGTGACCTATCCTACACCAAATTTCAATGACTGGACGTTCGAGGAGAATCGAACAGCAGCAGTTTGTCGCAGGCCCACTGGGACCAAAGCCATAGGGGAAGCCATATTAGGAGCAGGCCCATCATCGACTGTTGGGCGGATGATCGGCGGTTTTTACTGACGACACCGGTAAATCATAGTTGCAGAGGACGCTGGAAACTTCGGGGAACCCTGGACGGTTACGTGACCAGTACAGGATGAGCAGTGAGCACTGGATGGAGGATCGGGGCCAGGCGCTGACAGAGCTGCAGTGTAGTGTTGTCTAACGATCTGTCGGCTCCAAATAAGCGGCACTAAACACGCTATGTCTTTGATTGCAGCAATTGATGATGCCAGCATGAGGACAATGAGGACTATTCTACTCGAATGACGACTTTAAGGATAGCAAAGTAACTGCAATCGACGCATTCTCGACCCATTACAGCTCATTGTCATCAATAGGAGAGGAACAGAATTGCTGGACAAATAATGTATCCAACCGTCTAAACGGAGGCAAAAACGCAAATAGAGGCCAGGTTTAATCAGCGTTTCACATATACCCTCAGATACATATAGCCAGGCCAGAGAAAACTACAGAAAAATATTGTTAGTCGAAAAGCAGAAAATTGCGCAACACCGACGCGTCTTGTTAAGTGTTAACCCTCGCCGGACCTATTGGTTTTCTACATACGCGCCGGCCGAGGGGGGGGGGGGCGGGTACGACCCCCCCCTCGCCGTTTCGCCCCTGGTGGAGCTAGCGCGTCGCGGAAAAAACGAGCGTGTGCGCCGTTACGAGACGCAGAGATTGGTACCCGATTTTAAGGTCTTAGGTCAACCGGTGACCTCTGAGGTCAGGTCAAGTGCCCCAAGGTACGGTTCAGTTTTTGGTGAATAACTTCGCAAAAAAACGGCCGCAGAGCGCCGATTTTGGCAGCATCGTGTTCGCCTCGCTCAGGCGCGTCGAATGATATACTTTTTGTCCGGGTCAGGTCAACTTGGGGTGTTGACCTCAGGTCAAGGTCAGGTCAGCACCCCCAGGTCACGAAGTTGGTCGAAAGAGGTCATGTCGCATATCATTCGATTCGGCAGGCCTTCCTAAGTCCATTGGTGCCTTCCCCGACTCGCTAGCTCAATTTGATCAAGAGTTATTGACGAAAAACTAATTTGACCTTGATGACGTCATACATGACGTCACGCAAGGTCAACATTGCAAAAGTGACGCATCTTACCTTGCAAGGAGTGCATCAAATCACGATTCTGTGTGCTTGAGATAGTTGGAGATCGTTCCCGGCGCCAGAATAGCAGTTTTCATTTTTCCCCATTGACTTATAATGGTGAGGTCACGAAAATGACCTGACCTCATATGACCTTTAGGAAAAATCCGAGATATACAAGTTGTGGGACTCATAATGGATACTAGATCCTGCAAGTTTCATTTCCCTGTGACATCTCCTCTGGCAGTGAGGGCGTTGCGAAGTTGCGACATCTGAAGACCGTGCAGAGGTTCACTTATGACGTCATAGGTCAGTGACCTGACCTGACCCAAAAATGCGGTTGGTGTCAAAAGATGCGGCTTGAATCAAAGGTCAGGTATGCCAAGTTTCAGCTCTCTATCGCCTGCGTGTTCGGAGCTATCGCGAAAAAAACCCTATGGGGGGGGCGGCACCCGCCCCCCCCCTCGGCCGGCGAGGGTTAAAACAGCCGACAAATAGCATAAAGAAGCTGTTAATCGAGTGGTTTTGGTAGAGAGTAAAGGAAGGAACCGTCCAAAGAAACATCGAACAGAACAATCAAACAGACACAGTACAGACATATAATAAAAAATCGTACAACGATGGCACTGCCGTAAAATAGCAACATTTAGTTAGAACAGGTCAGCCAGCTTGGCTAAGGAGCCACTTCTATACATAACTAAGACAAACTACACTAGATACATTATAAATATTAGACCAACAGCTAGCTATCTACTGTCTAGTATACAGCACGAATGCCTATATTAACAATTAATAGGTGGTACCTACAGTAGGTGAAACGGCTACTACCGTGAGAAAAATAAGACAAACTTGAACTGACCGAGACGGCAACGAATTTCTATCTAACAAGAATGCTATTATTATTTTCTTACTCTCACAAATCTTATTGATGCAATATCCACCCAGTACATTCCCACAAGTTAACCAGACCATCACGAACATTAGGAATACGAACTATGTCAATCATACGACATAATTATCATTCAGCCAGATATGATCAATTGAGATCACAGAACTTATCCAACATCAAAGCAAGTATGAACCCAACTGCCATATGCACAGACACAAGCCTCGACTAAGACATTTATCAACCAGTATAACGCCTTTTGGGGCGACTAACGGAGCGAGCGAGAGGGTGAGCCTCGCACGTGCGAAATTTCGAGGGGGTACCTCCAGCTGACTTGTGCACGGCACCCTACTAATCGGTCTCTAGCGATGTGCCAAATTTGAGCACAATCGGCCCAGCCGTTCTCGAGATCTGGAAGCGGCACCCTGCACGTGCGCACGTGCAAAATGGGTCCCAACTGACTTTTGCACGGCACCCTACTAACCGGTCCCTAACCATGTGCCAAATTTGAGCGCCATCGGTCCAGCCGTTCTCGAGATCTGGAATCGACCCCTGCACGTGCGCACGTGCAGCAGCACCCCAACTCTGGCACATGGATATGCAGTGCCTAGTGGGTGCCTACCTACATGCCAACTTTCAGCGCAATCGGCCAAGTAGTTACCGAGATATTGCAACAATTACAAAAGTGACACCTCTTCGTTTTGCACGTGGCACGTGCATAAGGGGTCACCCACATGCATCGGGAACAGTCCAATACTTGGTAGAAGGAATGAAGCTACCCTACAAAAATTACCGCGTGTAAATCGGTCAAGTGGTTGCTGAGATATAAGCCTCGCAAAAGCGTGACCACGGCCGGCCGGCCGGCCGGCCGCTCATACTCAGAAATTTCCGTTAATCTAAGGAAAGACTACGCTCGCTTCGCTCGCTCCGTAACAAAAATACAACCCAACACTGATCCTTGGCATACGCCTACCTACCACAAACACAAAACAGACATCGATTTAACACCAAATACCTCTTAGACAAACATTCCAAACATGAAGAAGATAGCTCCCAGGCGGCTGGGGAGCTGACGTCCGAATAAAACAGCACACACAGGCCAGTCGACACGACACACATCCCTCTGAATATACCGGAAATACAGAAGCATGCCCTCGCCGGACACCGACAAACATACCAAACAGGGAACACCCAACAGTCATGCCATCGAGTAAAGAAGGAAGGGAACACCAAGCCTGAAGAAGGGAACACGCAAACCGGAGGTGAGACGAATAGAAGACGGCTGGCTCAAAAGATTGAGGTCATTTATTTGACAGTGATTTGATAGTGATTATGTGATAGTTTTTGATTTCGCCATTTGCATCTAGCTGGAATTTCGAAACGATTTAAAATACAGAGATGATTATCCAGTAGTGCGTACATTAATTTTGATAGATTTGCTTATCTAAACACTTGACCATTTCTTTTTCGGCAAAAAGATGTCAGCAAATTTATGAATTGTATGACAAAACAATCACCGCCAGCCGTTTTACATTCAGCCGCACCTCCGGCTACCATTGCAGTCCAAGCTCCATCCGCCCGTATACACAGCAACTGGGGAAGGATCGGTCACGTGACCGGTGGCCTCAGGGGGTAAGGTGGGGCCGCGGAGGGGGGGGGGGTCGTACCTGGCTGCGGCGGCTCCAGCTCCGTGGGGGTGGAGGGGGGAGTGGGGGCGCGGGGCAGCTCACGCGGGGCCTCAGAGACACCTGTGCGGGGGGACAGTAGTTAGAGTGATGGGGGAGACAGCGGGACAGAGAGAGGCGGGGGAGAGAAGCCAGGGAGGGAGAGAAACAATCGACAAGAAGAGGCGCGAGATAAGATGAACAACTAACTTCCAGATAGGAAATATATTATTTTCAACAGAACAATCAACATAAAAATGCCGTATTGTTTCAGTTCTTTGGAATATTCAGATGTTGAAAATCACCGGGAAGGCAGCAACGCAAAACTATTTGTAATTAGCCCCATCTGTCGATTGCTCTCCCGGCCACTGAACTCATATAAGTACGAACGGTAGAGTAGCTGGGAATGGTGCCTTAAGCATCAGGGTACAGCAACCGATTGGAATGGTGACAGCGGGTGAACTAAACGATCTGGCGGATGTAGTTACAAGCCCACCACCTGTGCTAGGTTTACATGTGGATAAGGTCATACAAGTATTGGAAAGTGTCATAGAAACCAAGTACCAATCACCCGATATTTATGTGGTAGGAGAGGTGATTTAACACCGAGGCACACATAGAAGACCGAATAGCTGAGGCAGTCACTGCCCCACAGACACCGTGAAACCGATGGTGAAAAACACCACAAACAGCCGTGTAAACCGACAACAAGCGGCGGCATTATTCACAATGTCCACACGGTTGGAATCACATTCACAGAACGAGTTGTGCAAAGTTCCGAGCCGCCGCGTTATGATGACGGTAATTCGGTGTAATGGCCTCACTTCCCACCGGTGAAAAACTGCCTGTGAGCCGTGTGAAATGGACCAGCACGGTGCAACGAGAGACGAATATGTCTATTACCGAGCATTTTAACTTTATTGGGGACAAGTTCTCGCTATACTTCAAAACATGGGCAAATATCCGGGTAAAGTAATTCCTTCTGGCCTTCTGGGACAAAATATGACAAAAATATCGCATAAAAATATAGCAAGTGTCCAAAAGCAAAGAAATTTGAAAAATGTATGACAACAAGAATAGAAAATAAGCGGAGCCAACTAAAGAAAAGACTGTGCACCATCATTAGTGAATGCACACTGGAATGTCCGAAGAGGAGAGTAAAGGCCGCCGTCCACTGCGACGGAATTCCGTCCGGAGTCCGTCCGGAATGTCGCCGCACGCTGGCCGCATCCGGTCCGGATGCGGTCCGGATACGGTCCGGATGCGGAAAGCTAATAAATGTTTACATTCCTATCACTTATTACCAAATAAAATATTGCAAGTAACCAGCAGCGAATACTCTTGCCATTCTAAGGAAATAATTTTTACTTACTTCATGATGATCGAGTTCCAATTCTTCGTACAATTCACAATGTTTGACTCCGATACGGCCCCAAACAACGTCTGTTCCGGACGTTCCGGATGCGTTTTCCGCGGAAAAGTTCAACGCGTCGGACATCACTCTTCCGTCTCCGTAGCAACCGCATCCGAAACGCATGCGGAGAGCTGACGGAAAATCAACAGCTGATTGCCGTTCGGATGCGGTCCGGACGGAGCGCACACGATTTCCGTACGGACCGGATGCGCCCATAGGGTTCTGTGTTAAATTCCGTACGGACCGCACGCGTTCCGCACAGTGGACGGCGGCCTTTAATGTGTCGTTTTTTTTAACACAATCCCCAGACGAAGACGTCTATGCACCGACCACGCTGATTAGACTCTACACAGCGGGACACCTGACCTCACGGAGGGACACCTTGCCGCGCACAGTCCGCACACAGTTTCAATCAGCTCCACAGAACGGTACAGAATACCGACACCGGTGACCAGCGCACGTACAGGGTGTCCAGAAAAAAAAACAGATACTATTATTTTTTGCTGTAATTCCGAAAATAAACACCGCACATTTTAAAATGGCACATGCTTGTATTCGCAAAAATATGGCAAAACAGACAGCAGGTGCCACATGGCATGTAAACCCCTTGGTTAGTCGCGGCAGCTCCTCAAAGCAGATACTCAATGTGAGCGGCCTTCCGGCGGATCAGCTCCAGCACTAGCACGGTCTGCAGGTGACTGATGGTCATGTTGACCACCTCAGAGGGCAGACAGACAACTTCCCAACGACGCATTACAGTGCTCATGAGTTTTGCCAAATCTTGCACTATAAAGTATAAGCACATGAAGTTGGGAAAAAATCGGCACGTGCGTTAATGAATGCGACTTAATTTCCGTAGTATCTTTTTTTTCTGGACACCCTGTACCTACACCACTTCAACATCTGTGTTTGAGGGTGTGTGTAGCTTATAGCTTATCTGTGTAGCTTATATGGGCACTGGGCAGCGTTATGTACTGGAGACACACACGTTCCACACACACAGGAGACACGGGAGTCTTCTAGGGGATGGCTTTGTTTTAGAAGTGAATAAAGGGAATATGGAGAGGGGAGGGCGCGAGTGCGACAGTGCACATGACGTGCAATAGCACGGGTTAGGGGTTGGTGAAGGTATATCCAAATAACGTGTAAATATGTGCTGGGGTGCCTCATCGTACCCTCGCGCATTAAAGGGACCCTCCCACCTTCAAAAAAGTTAATGAATTGGCATGAAAGTGATGTCACTCGGTTCAGAAAGAGCAAAAACGAATATCTACCAAATTTCATCGAAAAATATTCACCGGTTTTCAAGATATTAGACTTTTACTTTTGTTTACTTTTTGGGATCTCCGCTGATCCTAGCGACTTTATTTGAAAGTGCGGCATTTGTTGCGCGCAAAGCAGCATATACCACCGCGTGCTACAAAACGTTTTAGTCAAACATTTAACGGACGTTCGAAAGCCTGATGACGTCATCAGATTCCCGTAATGGTTAAGAGATAGGGACCACGCTGGTCCCACCCTGCAAGTAAAGGGAAGAAATTTCTTGAACACCATAAAGCTGCGGGGGTTGCGACCAGGATAAATGGTGGTTTCTGAGCCTGGCCGCAAACTTGGCTATCTCAACTCAAAACTAATGTTAAGGTGGGAGGGTCCCTTTAACGCGGGACACATCGGATGCGGCTGAGGCGCCAAATGGGTAATATCGGGTGCGGTGTGGGTGTATAATGGGTACATACCGGGTGCGGTGTGGGTGCGGTGTATGTGCGGTGTGGGTGCTGAATGGTTACATACCGGGTGCGGTGTGGGTGCCAAATGGGTACATACCGGGGGCGGTGTGGGTGCGCACGGCAGCCGTGGGGACACTCATTGCGGGCGTGACCGGTGACTTGAGACCCTTCTTTTCTGAGACCATGACCGGCTCCTCGACAACAGGCTCGTCTGAAACAGGGGGACACGGGGAGGTCAGTCCGACAGTCCTGGGACTCAGGGAGCGGTCACAGTCACTGGGGGGGCGCTCAGTCACTAGGGGGGAGGGGGTCGCTGAGCGGTCACAGCCACTGAGGAGGTGACTGACGGGGGGTCGCGGTCATTGGTATGGGAACGGTGGGCCTGCGGGGTTCTCCCGGGCTGGAAACACCTGAAAAAGCCGCAGGACAGTGCTGAACCTGCAAAATGTGATTGAGACGAACGTCGAACACATTGCGCCAATAGCTGGTCAGCAGAGAACAGCATGTCGCACTGGCACGCAGACAACGCATCTATCATAGCGAACAAAAGACAAGCCAAAACGAAAGGTCAGTTAGTCACGGTAAAACACAATGCAACAACAAAAAAGCAGGAATCCGATAAAGCAAAATCAAGAAGCAGAACCAAGTATCAACAACATAAATAACAGCGGACTTGACAATGAGCGCAACATACAACGAAACAAATAGCATGCAGATCCTGTAAATCCGTTCCGTTCTGCACGTCCTAACTGAACGCATGTAATCGCATCACTGGGGCCTATATTAGGACACAGACTACCGGCAAATCCGCCAAATCGGCTCACCAGCTCAGATTGGCAATCAAATTACTGACGCCAGCTTAGCCGGCAGCGAGATCGATTACATCCTATTCATAAACACATGTAATACCCGGGTATCAGGGCTCTTCCTAGCGGCTTGAGCAAATAGAACGAAGGAGGGTAATATTGTCGCAAATAACAGGCAACGTAAGCAAGCAACAAGTAATACAAAACGAAAAAAGTCATGCCAACAAAACACGGAACTACACTGGAGAAGACAACAATTAACCAAAAGCAACTGCAACAACACGCAACTGCTAACCAATCATATAGCGTAAAGGATAAACATAAGACATTACAACGCTTTTCATTTGCGCAGAGCGCACACGCATATGAATCAACTCCCGCATCAAAGCGCCCGGCGGTTGGGGCGCCACCCAGCAGGCGTTAATCTATTGGCACCGGGACAACACCCCCGTCCAGGATTGGAGCAGCGGCCGTGCGCGAACATCCGTGCTGCTATCGCAGTGCGTTTGAACAGGCAGCGAGGCCGCCTTCACACGGGCGGCTCACAGCCAGGGGCGCTGACGGCTGGGTCAACGGCGGGTGACCCACAGACCTGGTGTGGAACGGGCGTGTTTGGAGGGCCCACTTACAGTCTGGTGGCCCCGCCCTACCAGGCCTACAACGGTACGCCCCCGTCCCTTCTCCCCGCCCTCCCAGACTCACAGAGGTCCTCCTCATCAAACTAACAGACTCTCTCTCCCTCCGTCCCCGCCCTCCTAGACTAACAGGCTAACAGTCGATGGCCCATTCAGGGCTAGTGAATGTAAGTACACATGTGCACGGTGTATGTGTGTAATTACGGAGCGAGCGAAGCGAGCGTAGTCTTTCCTTAGATTAACGGAAATTTCTGAGTATGAGCGGCCGGCCGGCCGGCCGGCCGTGGTCACGATTCTACGACGCTTATATCTCAGCAACCACTTGACCGATTTACACGCGGTAATTTTTGTAGGGTAGCTTCATTCCTTCTACCAAGTATTGGACTATTCCTGATGCATGTGGGCGACCCCTTATGCACGTGCCACGTGCAAAACGAAGAGGTGTCACTTTTGTAATTGTTGCAATATCTCGGTAACTACTTGGCCGATTGCGCTGAAAGTTGGCATGTAGGTAGGCACCCACTAGGCAATGCATATCCATGTGCCAGAATTGGGGTGCTGCTGCACGTGCGCACGTGCAGGGGTCGATTCCAGATCTCGAGAACGGCTGGACCGATGGCGCTCAAATTTGGCACATGGTTAGGGACCGGTTAGTAGGGTGCCGTGCAAAAGTCAGTTGGGACCCATTTTGCACGTGCGCACGTGCAGGGTGCCGCTTCCAGATCTCGAGAACGGCTGGGCCGATTGTGCTCAAATTTGGCACATCGCTAGAGACCGGTTAGTAGGGTGCCGTGCACAAGTCAGCTGGAGGTACCCCGTCGAAATTTCGAACGTGCAAGGCTCACCCTCTCGCTCGCTCCGTTAGTCGCCCCAAAAGGCGTTATACTGGTGTGTACTGTGTAGTATGTGCGTGTGGGGGGGGGGGGGAGGGGATATGCGGGTGCACAGCTGGGTGCGTGTATGTGCGTATGACTCATGCCCCGCTACGAGCGAAACATTAAAATGTGTGCTGCGCCCTACTTCGGACTTTGGCTAAAACAAATATTATTTGATGGTGACTCAAGGAGTCATTCACAATATTGTGAGTTTAATTTTGTACGGTCCAGCACAGCCTTTTCTCCTGCATTATCACGGAAGACGTTACATTGCGCTTAGACCCTTTGCAGCACCAGATTCATAACCAATGAACTCAATTTGTCACCGTATCTCCCGCTCGATCACCGAATTCGGCGCCGGTAAGACCCTGTATCCAGTCCACAATCCCTCCAGAGCCGCCGCCCAGCCCTCCCCTCCGTGTTTTATACCGACTCCGAGCGTGCCGAGGTGCCAGGGGTAGGTATGTGGAGAATCTCACGTCTGCCGTCCGAGGCAGGGAGGGCAGGGCTCACAGAGAGGGGTTTAATGCGCCGACACGTACCCACAGCACGGCGCGTGGCCCCGAGACCGGCCCGATTTAAACAGGGGTATATGTACAGCGGCGGGGAATGTTCACTGGAATTTAGTCATGTTCTGTGGTCAGGTGATGCTGTCTCGGTGTGGAAATATGCGCAATTAAACCACAGTCATCTAGCAATGCAATTTTGACTAGAAAAATATCAAAGCATAGCGATGGCAGACAGCCAAAATGCCGCTAACGAATTCCAGTCTGGTCTGACTTAGAACGAAAGACGATTAGCTACTGCACGCGATTTCCTCGTGATTTCAGTGGCACGCACCAATGTACAGTGGACTCCGCTAACAGAGGCGAATCAGCACTACTCATCGCCCCCTCTATGAGCATTCCTCGACGTTTAACATTCCTATCGCATTCTTACAGCATTCTTCTGCATTTTTGTTGGCTTCAAAGTTAAAACTGTGCATGTTTCTATAAATAATAGCATTTCTAGAAAATGCAGTTTCACTACCTCATAGCCAGACAGGATATCGCAAACACCTGTTCTGACGTTTCGTCTGCTTATTACGAGTGACTGAACACCGAATGGATTTCTGCTGCTATGGAACACAGCCTTGACTAGAAGGTCCAAAAATTTAGGCGTAACACTGCATAACTCAGCACCATTCATGCGGTTTATCAACAAGTAGGAGGTAAAACAAGTCTAGATCACAAAATGCAGCACGGTTAAACTACAGCAGGTGCGTTGTTGCAGTCTGTCTTCATACAGGCATTGCAAGAAGGGTGTTCTGTTGACTTTTTTCAAGTGAAGGATGGGATTATGATGGTGCCAGTGTGTAAATGTCTCAACTATGCACTCCACGTTATAGTACGAGTATAGCGAAGTTGTTCGTGTAACCCCCACTACGCCTCGCCCCACCTTATCCCACCTTTCTGCAACTCTTGTCTTTTCGGGCTGGTTCTACATATTTTTGCGTCCTCCAACAGCCCTAAGCACGCTCAGGTTTCCCTGTCCATCCAGAAACAATATCGTACCTGTCGGTTCCCTGTACCAGTACCCTGGATATACCAGTGACCGTTTACCGTACCTGTCGGTTCCCTGCCGGGCCGCTCCAGCGGCGGCTGTGTCCCCCTCTCTCTGTACACTGTACTGTGTACCTGTACTCAGTACCGTACCTGTCGGTTCCCTGCCGGGCCGCTCTAGAGGAGGCTGCGTTCGCTCCACCTCAGCCAGCGCGTCTCCGAGCTCCCTGAGCACCATGGAGCGCCGCTTCTCCTCCCGCTCAGCCACCTCGGGGTGTTCGAGTTTGACGGGCGCGATCTCCCGCTCCTGCTCGACGGGACTGGCCAGGTCGGTGACGGTGACCTGGCCGGTGGCCGGGCCGTCCTTGGGCGCGATGGGTGCCACGGGCCGGCTGGGCCGCGGCGCCGCCGGCACCGGCTCCGGCACCGGCTCCGGGGCAGAGGAGACCGTCTTCTCCTCGGCGGCGTACTTCCGCTCGTCGGCGTCACCGGGCGGCGTGATGACTGAGGGAGGGTCACCGAGAGGTCAGCTGCAGGTCACAGAGAGGTCACTGACCTGTTGACCACTGAGGCGTCACTGGGCGGCATGATGACTGGGAGGGGTCATCGGACCAGCTGGAGGTCACCGAGGGGTCAGAAGAGGTCACTGAGGGGTCACTGGTTCTGCTGAGATCACTGAGGGGTCAGGTCACTGAAGTTGCTCATCTCCTGGTATGCTGAAAATATGTGGGTTACAAACGTCTGAAGAGAACAGACACAGCACATCCAAAAGGCGTCAAGGATGTTGACGGCCACTTGTTTTTACATGGCGGGCCTGCAGCGCTTGAGGCAGCAAAGCTAACTAACGGACACAGCAGTAACTCGAGATGACAATATTTTCATGATAAACATAAACACGGAACTGAAAAATCATCAGCACATAGCCAATGCTCAGGAGTGATGGGGAAAAACACAAACACAGGCACATGGTAGGTAGGTGAGTGCTCACAACCGACCCCGTTGTCAATTCCCCTTTCTCCTATTGATTTCCTTGGCTCGGAATGTCTTCCCGGAATAAGTAGTCGCCCCCCCCCCCTTCCATGCACCTGGCGTTCCAGGGGTCAGTGTCCTCCGTTCCCGCCAATTTTCCGTCGATCGCGCGGGAAAGCCACACCACAATCAATACCGGGCGTTCAACACCCCCAAATTATAGCCAGTGGCCGGGGAAATGGGAACCACGCACCCGCACATAGGAACTGGAGCCGACGGTGGCCGCGTGTCGACAGCTAATAATAGCGACCAAAGGCAGGCTTCACAACACAGCCAGCGAGCTTCTGCAATAGTACTTCATCCGTATGCGTGTACAACTTTAAACATAAAGCGTTAATAAAACGTCAGCCAGGTAGTTAGCGCGATTACTCCAGGCGCCTATTATTGGCGCTTCACCAAACCTTGTTTAAAATAAATGCAATGAGAGCGGCGTTTTAATTTGGTCGGTCGGGCTGCCAGCTATTTTCGTCACCGGGTCAGCTGTGGCGGTCACCTTAGATTGGACTCGTACCAGAGAACCTTTAGTTGGACTCGATTAATGTACCAGAAGGCTTCTCGGGAACAAATAGACCAGTAATCCGGAAACTAACGGCAAATTTACAATGCAACTTGAAACAACCTCGCAGATAGCCCGTTCTAGGACGGCGTGGTCGAAATAACCGTTGGACAGAGCGAGCAAACAGTCGCCCAGCGGCGGCACGCAACTGCCGCCTGCCACTGCCAACGCTGCCAACTGCCGCACAACTGCCGTCCAGCTGTCACAACAACGCACACTGCACAGTCGCCAGCTGACGCCTGCGTTCACAAATGACTCTTTTAGAGTACAACCGAGGTTGATTTATAATTGCGAGTAGAAGTACGATGGGCGAGATCAGGACTGCAAACGCCACACATTTTGTTTTTACTAAGCCTTGCAGACTGATGTTTGCCTAAAATGGTGAATGAATTTAATTTTTAAATTATGTTCCGCGTTTTGACTGTCACCAGCTGAGCTCCGTTGGGCTTCATCACACAGTCCCCTCTCCTCACGTATCCTCCCGTTATCCCTGGCTGCACCTGCCCTGTCCGCCGGACGGCGAACACACTGTTTACCCAGCCGGTACCCGTGTTCAGTGCAACATGGCAGAGCGCTGCGGCAGTGATAAGAGTGGCCCCGCTCCACCCCCTCCACCCATACAGGGGCACCGTCCGACAGTCTTTGATCGTACCGCCGCACAGCAGGATACCGGTTCCAGTGAGCCCCGCTCCCCTGTGGTACTGTCACGAGTCCACGCTCAGTGTCCCCTCGTGTTTAGCGATATCGCTCTGATTGGCAGTGCACAGGCGCAGTTCCCAGAACAATCCCTCGGTCCATACAGATAACGATCAGTGCAAGGGGCGTGGTTCCGGCGCGAACCGACCCCGTTCCCCTATCAACTCCGTGGACAGAGTTATGGGGCAGTGACCTCGGGGAGCTTGCCGTGCAATATGGACATTGAGCTCGATATAGCTTTCCAGTGGGGAGGGAATGCAGGGGTGGACCTGCGTACCCACACCGCCCCAATACGGCTGGCAGTGCGCCCACACCGGAACGAACTGCCCCATGTGACTGCATGACGGGTCACCGTGACGGGTGACGGGACAGGACAGCGTGACGGGACAGTGCGAACAGACGGCGTGACGGGTGACGGGCCAGCGTGCACACTGTACAGCGCACAGCGCAGCAGGTCATAACGAGCCAGTAACGCCGTCACAACAGTGCAACATACATGGCGTTACATGGCAACTCCGAAATGGTACGGATACGACACGGGCGTGGCAATAGGAATAGGAGGGTCAGGCGGAGCTTAACAGGTACCCAAACCGATCGAAACTGGAGCTACTTTTAGAGTTATATCGCATCGCACCAAGCCCTAGCCCGCTGAGACCATGGCTTTGGCAGACAGGATGCCAAATTAGAAAACCCGCAGAGTGACAGATCTATCTATCACTGCCCTTCGCCATCCTCATTCTATCGGAATCCCCCCGGTGGTCCCGACATTTGCATCACCGCCTCGCACTGGTCCGAACGTCTGTCATCTCACAGAATCGATGACCAGCCTAGTGACGGTCCAATGGAAGAACTCTCAGAGCAGAGTGCCGTCGTTGTGGGCAGATTCTCAGGGCGGGATGAGATCAAGTCCTGGGACATTCAGCTCAATGAGGGCGTGGTGTTCACAGGTTTCCTGGTTCGGGTGCGGTGGCGTTTCCAATAACGCATTTCTAGTGTGAAAATCCCAGACTTTAGTGTGCAATGGGTGGTAACGGGCGAACGTCTCTCATTCCTAAAGTGAACGGGACCACCCTCGAGATCTCTCGAGATCACCCCCGGTAATGGCTGCTGATGCCATCTAGGGCCTCAGCCACTCCCAAACAACCCCGAGACCACCGTGTCTTCAAGACAATCACAGAAGACCACCGAGGATCCCGGACATTCACAGAGGACCACCAAGGCTCCCCATCCCTGGGACCCCCGAGACTCCCTGACATTCACAGAGGACCAACGAGACTCCGAGACATTCACAGAGGACCACCGAGACACCCGGACATTACATTGGATATTACAGAGGATCACCGAGATTCCCGGACACTCAGAAAAGATCACCAAGACTCCCAGACATTCACTGAAAACCACCACGGGCTAAAGAAATTCGCTAATGACCACCGAGACTCCCAGACACTCACAGAGGACCACGGGGGCTCCCACCCGTCTGCCGGGGACCACCCCATCTCGCCCAACCAATAATAAACACAGCCGGCTGCAGAACACGGGGAGGGGCCGGGAGGGGGTGTGAGAGAAGACGGGCCAGGCGGTGCACGACGTGATGACGAGGGCGGTCAGAGGACCCGACAGAGGCGACCGTGAAGGGAAGGCATAGATGGAGGATTGGACGACGGCGACGCTCAACCGTAGATACTCCTAGACGGCAAGGAACAAATTCCTGCTCGTTCGCTTGGTTGAGACGAATTGAGAAGGGGAATCGCGACATGTTGTTCGTTTCTCCTCAACTTACCAGGCTCGGTTTTGCCAACTTCTGATACTCGTACATCTTCAACACTTTCTGCCTCCTGAAAACAGAAACAGACATCGTCAGCCAGCTGCCAAGAACTGCTCCACATAACCTCACGATACATTAGCGACGTAGTATACAAACGCACGAAAGATGATAACGGTCATGAACATTAAACACAGCAAGCGTGCTTTGGGTAGACGGTTTCATGGTTACATAGACGAGTCTTTCACAAGATAAAAACAATAAGCTGCATGTCATTATTCTTCTATGCGACTTCATAATGATCCTAGGGAATGATGCCCTTCGCAAAAGATCCACTTCGCAGCACCTCTGGCATGTCACACCAAAACAGACACCGCGTATTTCGCGGTGCCTCCCCGTAGCCGTCGTTCCACAGCCGTTGACCAAGCCCGGCGTACAACAGGTGCCCCGAGAGGACCGGTCCGCCGACGCCAAAACCCGACCAGCCGCCGTCTTATCGCCCACAACATCTGCACTCGCGTGCTGCCGCGCGAAGTGCTGCAAACATTCCGACACAAGGCGTGCTCGGTGGTGCCAGTAGCCCTGGATCGGGGCCCGTCTGGCGTACATCCTATTTTTGCAGCCCAACCGCCTCACACGAGCGGCCAAATCCAAAACAAACAGCCACAATGGACTGCTGCGAACCTGCGATCACTAGACGAATAACCCAGGCCTTTGCCCCTACCAGCCAGGACACCAGGGAGACACATCCGCACTTCTCTGAACACCGTTTTGTCATCATCTCCACGAAAAGCAATCAGCAAGCTCGATTCAAAAAGCCATTCAGCTAGGATGCACTTTCAATGGGGAGTATACATAAACTTTATCTACTGACTTCAGTCTTCAACCATAAAGTCCCCAAAATAACAAACGCAAGTTCTCCAATATTTCCTCCTGTTTCTGGTAGTTGCCCCGGCGTCCGACAGCGTATTCCACCCCACTGCGCCGACACCTTCCCTCCGCGGAGATATATAGATGATAAACGGCCCACCGCTAAATGCTAATTACCAGTTTTCCGTCAGCTAAGGGATGATTGATCACGAGGGCGCCAACCGGAACGGATGGGAGTGACGCAACTCACCCAGCCCCGCCGCCAGTACATTTCGCAACCGCACTATAAATGCAGGACGCCCAGACCATCTGAGGCGTCCGTGCAGGTTGTCACCATCAGTGGCTAAATATAGGAGACGCACAATTGCTCCCGACTGAAGTCGTACGGCGGACGTGTATTAGCATATCGCGGGCGACTGTGTCAAGATCAACATCGAAGGTGTCAAATAGGAGTGCAGAAGGTTGCAGAACGATCTCAAAGATCGCAGCCGCATGTAAACGAAGCAAGCCGGATACATAAATAAACAACGCAGAACATATGACTGCGAGACGCATAGTACATGACTCCTCAGCCAGAAAAAGAAACGACTTGACGAACCTCGATGCTCTTCGCATGCCAGATGTCTTCATCAATCTTCTCAAAACAATCGCAGATGGCTAGAAAAGCGTTTCTCTCAGTCCCCGCGCGGACCTACCCCACATGTGCCGGTACCGGCGGACCGGAGTGCCCCGCCCCCTCGCGGACCGGTCCTGCCGGGCGCCGGCTGCCCAGTTCACGGTCACGGCGCCGGACGCCGACCGACGACCGGCGCGACGGTGGCGCCGCCAAACGGTGGCCTTGAGCGGCGCAGTCAGCTGAGCCGACGCCGGTTGCGTGGGCGCGGCGGCACAACATGGCGGCGCCGGCCGGCGCGGTGGGCGTGGCAGCGCGCCGCGGCAAACCGGCGCGGCTATGCATGGACCCCACCATGGGGTGAGTGTTGGGCCGGCCGACAATAGATATGTTGTTGTTGCAGACATTGAAGGGAGGCATTGATAAGGGAACAGCGCAAGACCCTGCTGATGGGCGCCTTTGCACATCGTGTGAGCGACGAAGACGCGTCATCGGTTTCTCTGCCTCTCGTCCCGTGGTGGTATTGGCATAGAAAGGCGACGTCTAGCTTTTCCAAGATACTTTGGTGAAAGCTGTCCTTACCTCCCCACAAGTCACAACTCGTTACACAAGGAGACAAGTTCAAGACGGACATGTTGAACGGGACAGCCCGACGTACGGCACTCGCCACCCCTTTTGAAAAGTGCAGGGCAAAAGAGGTTGATGATCCAAGCTAAGGTTGCCATCATAGCTCTCTATGCCCGGATTTGACATTGATTATCAATTCATTTTCAATGGTCGACAGCTCCGTCCGTACGCGCCAGTTTTGCCCACGTTAACGTAACGCCTGGGCAGCACTTTGTCGTCTTCCGAGAGATAAAGCTGCATTTAGGCTGTGCAATATCCACGACAAATGGTGTTCGGGGCGCGATCAATAAATTTCGGCCGCCTGGCGGCCGGGACCACCGCGAACTGAGCCCGCCGCCGCCGCCCCGGCCGGGTCATCTGTTTACGTTGGCCGCCCCATCAAACGCCAGGTGCTCACAGCTAAAACACAGCGGCAGGTGGTCTGGGACACACCGATCTTCCGGAGTCGCTCCATCCAGCCAACTGCCCTTGCCAAAAACTTCGCCACAAGCGGGCTAATTTGCCTGAACACTACGCGCGGCCAACGTTGCAGACTTGCGGTCCAGAGCTATGCCGCATTTGAATGAGCTCAGTGGCGAAGTTCAAGACATTGTACACCACTAGCAACAGTTACATAAGGCTTATATAAGATCTGCCTGAGTCGGGTGCTAGGGGATAATGTGCAGTTTCCGATAACATGACGTTAAGATGCAAACGATTCGAGAATGCACTTTTTGTCCAATAAGTCTCATTCATAAACCTATATCCGATTCCGATGGTAAGGTCCCCTACACCTACAGTATATATTACGTCTCCCTTTCCCACTGCGGGCCTCTTTTTGCCTGGTTCACCCCAAGACGAGCCTCTGGGGCTGACGTCAACCTCGTCTCAAGTGCGCCAGTAAACACGAGTCAGAGCCTGACGGGCAGGCCACAAAATTCTCCCCAGACCCTGGCTGCGGCCGTCAGCAGCGGAAAGGAAGGACATCATTCATCGGCAGTCAGCAGCCGACACAGCCAGTACCACAGCCGAACGAGTGTTCCAGTAGCGAGCAGACAAATCACCCAAACGACCAGCACGATAACCAGCTGCGACGGAGACGTGCATAACGCATAACTATCGTCGAGAAGAGGGCAGAAATCCGCGATGAGAGCAGAACAAAAGAACACTCCAACGTCTAACATGCATTGCGTCTGAACGCTTGACGAAGCCAGGATTATGGTGAGGAATGGAATGGAGTCATGCCTGATTCCAATGAGTCGGTTTTCCGCCCGGACGACACGTAATGCTATTGTTTACGTTACACTGTGCCATGCTGTGTTGATATTGATCGTGGCCTTGAACAAAGCGCTACGGGTTTGAGAGCTACAGTGCAGTCTTCGTGTCTCGGCATAAAGTGCAACCAATATCTCAACTTCATTCGATCGATTGTCACCTTCCTCAGCACTGATATCCCCGAAAATAAGGACCATGCCTCAACCGAGCATTCCGTCCCCCTCCTGCGGGGTGGGGTTAGCCCCAAAGGAGGCCTCTCGCCACCCGGTACGGCCCCGTTCCGACTCATACCAGCCGCTGCGGCTGATCAACAGGCACCAATGCCACCCAGTGCCTCAACCCGGCGACCGTACCAACCACCACCACCGCCCCGCCATCAACCACTGACATCATCACATCGGAACGATCAGCAGATGTCCCAGATCAGTGCGGTCCCCCGGCTGGGCCTCTGTTGTCGATCTCTAATCAGTGCAGGCTCCCCGCTCAGAGCCCCTGTTGTCAGGCCTGGTTCAGAGCCAGTCCAGGTCCTGCCGCCTCCCCCAGCGTCTAAGCCCCTTTCAACACCAGTTCAACCTCATCAAGACCCATCTTCTCCACTTCAGAAAAGTTCAAGGTTTCGTTCCGCTTCGCTGCAAATCTGTCTACCAAAGACATGGCAATCAAAATCATTGCAAAACTTCATTCGCTAGACCAAACAAAATAAAAACTTAAAAAATAGACTCGTCCAAAGACGATTCTGCCGCTAATGAGGCTGACAGTCCGCGGTCTCCGTGATTCAGATGATCTGGTGAAATGTGATCCAGACGGCGGCAGAGAACACAGACATACTTGGTCGGCAGGCATGCGCTGCCTGTCGACACAGGCCAGCTAGATCGACTTTCATCTGCACTGGAGTGACAAAACGCAAGCCACGCACCACGGCGAGCCATTAACAGACTGCCACACAACGTCACCAATCTGTCTGCGTTTGTCGAATGTGTAAAGAGAGGAGCCGAGGCGTGCTATCGCCAAGCAGTTGCAGACGAAGGTAGGCACGTGATGGAAAGGAAACGGGCAGATAAAGCAGCCGGGAAGCCGCAGGCTCCATGGTTTCCCATGGGGCGGCGGCGCGGTGGGCCAAGGGAGCGACGACCCGTGACCCGTGACCTGTGAGGTCACTCGGATGTTTGAGGTTACGTAACTGCGAGACATGATAAATGAGGTGATTAATAGATTTCGTCGACATAAATGACTTTGGAAAAGTAAGAACTCTTTAATGAACAGGCACGTCAACGCTTATGTCCATTTGTGCCGAAATCATGCCGAAAACATCAGTAAACCATCCTGGGCAGATTATGAATTCGGCCCAGGGTATACCACTCTCCTTCCTTTCTGTTTCACCTGGAAGGCGTTGGCAGAACCCCTGACGACATGGCCGAGACAAACAGCCCGACAAACACCGCCTTCCGGTGGCAGCCCCCCTCCGGTGCATTCACGCGTCACGAACGTCTTCAGCCGTAACGGACGGCGAGGGCGCATCCTCCCCCACCTCGAGCAGCGCGACAGTCGACAGCTGCAATCGCAATGACGGTGCAACGAAATGGACGTCAGCAGCAGCGGAAGCACCATCATCAGACGGCGGCTGTAGAGGCTCAGTGGCGGCGGAGGCGGCTGTGGGGATGGCTGGCTGATGTAGGGATGTAGAGGCTCAGTGGCGGCGGGGGCGGCTG